GACTGGCACTAGGCCAATGTTTCGTTACAATATTCATGTCAAAGTGACCACAGAGAGTTACTCTGAAAACTCTTCAAGGGCTCAGCTCTTACAAAAATGCACTGATAGGAAAAAATTGGGAGGGGACAAATTCTGCCTCCTCCCCCAGCTCATTTAAGGTGAACTTAAGTTCGAGAATGCGAAGACTGCATCTGACAGTGTTGAGGGCAGGATTAAAGGAGCCGTCAGTGTAGATTTGAAGTATATTGTAAGCTGTTCCAAAGAGTGTTCATTATTTTGTTACCGATATTACCTCTGACATTGATGTCGATATGTAATATTTGGAAGATTTTATGCCATGAGGAAGGTGCTAAGCAGGGAGAAAGTACATGTAACAAAAGGGTATTGGAGTTTTCTGTGTGGTTTGTCTCCTTATTAAGTAGTATTTAGGGCAGTTGTTTTGATCTGTACTGTATGGTTTCAGTGGTTAAATACAAATCATGAAGAATTGATGGTAAAGGGTTACTGGTGGGTTATCACATTGAAGTTGGAGATGAAATCGGGAAGCGCACTGGAGAGCTCCAGTTTAGAGTTTAAGAGCTTGATAATGAATGCTGTCCAGTTTTTGTGTCATTCATGTACATGTGATAGTAGAATCTGAATGAAAGCTTCACATCTGTACTCAAGAATATGTTTGATACACCAGTTCACTAGTAAATTCTAATTTGTGTGCACACTATGCGCATGTACAGTGTACATGTAAATTGGCAAGTGGAAGTAAGAAGCTTGTGTGGCCCATTGATAATGTGCAGGGCCCAGATTTCAATGTCGTGTCTCTCAGCTTCTGTACCTTTTTTTCACTTTTGTCTTTGGAAAACCTCCTAAAATCATTATACCTTTTACTCTTTGGTCTAAAAGGGTTTTATTCTAAATAACAAAACACAAGCTTTGCTTCTCCCCAAGTGCATGATCGATGTCAAAAGAACTAGTGCTCCTTTATGACCAAGTCCAATTACATAAAATAATTTTTCACTTCAGGGTACTATGCATCACTTGTACTGTGCAGAATCGCAGGTTAAATTGCAGGCTACAGTACCTTCAGACAGGGTTTAGATATTTATTTACCACAGATATGTACATGTACCTGTAGGTGATCAACTGAGAATGCTGAATGGCACCCAAACATATCGCACATCTTGGTTTCACCATGTGATTCTACCTCCATGGTTTCACAGCTCATGCACACAGAACGGACCTCATGCTTTTTGAACGAACAACATTTTCAAGTTTTATTGTGTTCTCCAAAAATCTCACTCACATCAGAAAGTAATAGGCATAATGATTTTAGAGGGTTTCCTGTAGACAAAAGTAAAAACAAGTGCAGAAGCTGTGAGAAGAATGATGTTGAAATTTCTGCCCTTCTACATTTCCAATGGGCTGCTCAAGCTTGTTGCTTCCACTTGCCTTTTGTATGCATGCGTACATAAATAAGAGTTTATTAGTGAACTGGTCTATTAAGACAGAGTGTAACTGAAATAGTACATGTATATTACAGTCAGTGCCCAATATGTGATTCTGTTGATACAGCAGTTAAGTTTTCTTTTGCATTTTACAGCGATGTTATCTATTAACTTGTTGTCAATAGTAACACCCAGGAATTTGGTCGATTGCAAGATTTGGATTCAGTGGTTTTGGATAAACTTAAATAGAGAGTTATTGGTCTTCTTTGTAAAAATGACTGCAATTGTGTTGGGATGAGATGCTTTAGCTTGAAACCCAATATTTCGCACTAGAAGAGAATGGTGTCGTTTTTGGATTTTTTCCTCAAGGAAAGAGATGTTTCTGTTGGATTTCTAAATTTCTACCAGTATACATGTATATTACCGGTATCTGCATCTTGAGAAACTCTGACATTAAGGAGGTTGTGAGAGTGATCAACATCAAGAGTAGTAGGCTAATAATGTTGCCCTGGGGGACAACATTTTCTGAAATTCTTTCAGTGGAAAGGGTTTTAGTCTTATTTGTACCAGTAGCTTGCATTTTCTAAGAAACTTGTTTTTCAGGCTTTGTTGATGGCCAATTCAAGATTAAGGATGTGGTATGGAGTGGATAGGGTGACAAAATGAAGATACAGTGTATGGCAGGATCTTTCCCCAGTTGGAGAATGGGAATGAGGTTAGTATCTTTCTACTGTTTGGGACATTGAGAAGTGTGCCAAATCAGGTTGAAGATTAAAAGTATTCCCTGACTTTTATGGGAAAATGTTTGATGTCCTTATTGTTGATTCCATCTTTGCCAGGTGTTGTGCATTTGGAGGACTCAATGGCATGATTCCATTCATGTATATTGTACATGTAGCATGTCCTACTGATCAGGGTTCGACACTGGTATAGAATCACACACAGCCGCAACTCGCTGTTTTTGGTCACGAAATCTGTTTTAATGCTGTTGTCCACAACAATGCGTTTTCAGCTCAGCTCTAAACATGGCGCCTGACGGCAGGGACTGCGCAGGCGCGAGGCGGGAAAACCGCAGGCTGTTCGCATACCAGTGCGGGCAGCCAGCCAACTCCATGCGGGTCCGAGCTGGCGCCCCCACCGGCCGGACCCGCCGGCGCTACAATATTGATTGAATGGTTCATTAAATACATTAAAGTATCATTGGTATCATTTAGATTGAGATTGTTTTCAGTGTCTTGTTACATGTAAGTATTGATGGAAGAGGGACTGTAATTTTCAGTTCTACTGATTTTGGCAAAGTTGTTGACCAGTGCCTTGGCTTTATCTTTATAAGTACCAGATATGATATCATTGCCATTGTAGTGTTAAACTGGATAGTACCGTACCCCTTGTTTGGATAGGATCAATCCATTTGATCTTGTTTCTGATAACTTTTGTGTAAGTCTTGGGATTATATTATCGCAAAATCTTTGCAATTTTTATTTTTTAGCAGCTTTAGTAGTTTTCATAGCAATGGCACATACATGTACCTTTTTATAAATTGTAATTTATTAATTGAGATTCTAAGGTTTCTCAAAGCCTGATTGTGTCTTTCCATGTAAACATGAAAGGCACTGTCTAGTATGATGGTTCCACCTCTGACTTATTACAATCAAGAGTGAAGTCAAGGAGAGCTGTGTTTTGGTGCAAACCCTGTTTGCCATCTTTGCCTTCACCTAGTCAGAGGATGGGAACTACATGTACACTGTATGTGTATATTCACACCAGAAGTGATGGCGGCTTCTTCAACCTTGCCCACCTGAGAGCAAAGACCAAACTGGAGGCAGTACTTCCCTGAAAACAGCTCTCTGGAGATGATGCAATACTAGTAGCACACACATACAAGAGGGACTATAATGACTTTAGTTGCGCATACTTGCAAGGAGTTCGGTCTTCTGATCAGTCTATAAAATACCAACATCATGGGGCAAGATGTCAGCTCCAGGTGGAAGGAGAAGAGGAGACGCAGACACCAGCAAGCTTGTTTAGCTCCTATGAACCCAGGCACAGGCTTCACTTGCAGCACTTGCAACAGAGCCTGCCTTTTGAGGATTGGCCAGTTCAGCCACAGCAGGTTATTCAAGTCAACCACTAATTGACCAGCTCAGGCTACATTCAGATGTTTTAAATTCACTTAAAATGGTGGTTACGGTACACCTGATTTGGTGTAACTTTTGCATTGAAACGATGTCTGGACGCTTTCCAAGTTACACCAAATCAGTTTTATTTCAGAGTTAATATGGGGATTTAATCCACCTCAGAGGGAGGGTTTAGCATTGAACCATAATGGCTTTTGCAGAAATGCATCCGGTTCAGCGCATTGACCTAGAGTTACGTAACAGCTTTTCTTTGGTGCGCTTTTGTTATAAACAATGAGGTGTACAATGTAACCGCATGCTTAATGACCTGTGCAATGCTATCATCCTATAAAACTGCCATTACAACATGGAAAAAAGCGGTCACTCTCGTCTGCCTCTCTGTGGTATATTGCCAGAATTGCCGCTGTAATCGGGAAAAAGCGATACATTTTGTTGTATTTGCCTTCTAAAGATGCCTAAGACTGGTAATATGTCTGTAAGGCTGTGGACTGCTGATGAGCATTTTTCTAGGGCAACCATCATTTGTTGCATTGCAATGATATGTGAACAAGTGTCTCCCGATAGAGCACCATGTTGCACACATAACACAAACGCTGGTACCTGGGTGACAATCAGCATGTTTTTACAGTAAGTATATCGGCAACCAGTCCAAACCTGCTTCAAGCACACGTCGGCCATGTGTGTGTGTACACAAACTTAAGTGGGATTAATTTAAATGAGTGGAAGTTCTTTATGACCCCAAGAAAAGGAGATAGACCGTTTTGGGTTAAAGCTGCCAAATTAAAATGGTTCCAAAGGCTTGGTGAGTTTTAATTTTACGACTGCCATCTGTGGTGAATGACCATTTTAACTTTTACCGTTTTCACTAACACAGTGTCTGAACATAGCCTCAGGTGCAGCTCCATTGTCTTCCGAGACTGACGGATGCCAACAAGCGTTTAATGGTTAGGCAGTGGTCGTTTCCACATGTGTCTTGTAGTACAATCCAATTTCTTGTTGGAGGCTATGCAAGGGGAAGCTGGAGTGAGGGAACTGTGTGATGTGTTAACCCTGGTGCCTTCTCCAGTATTGAGACAAACCAAATTGTTATTGATGTCATCAATAATTTATCCATTGTGGTCAAGTTTAGAGTTGCCGCACAGCAGGTTAAGACTGTTGAAATAAAAAAAAGAACTACCCTTACAAACCAACAGCTTTGGAGATCGATAACAAATCTTCCAAAGGAATCTCAACATACCCGTTTTTTACCAACTCCAACTCCATGCCTTTTAAACAATCTGTCTGGCACTTCCGCTTGCCTGTGCAGCGGCAGTTGCTCACCTGGATTGGAGGCAATGCAAGCCAAAACTCTTAATATCTGTTACAAACAGGGCTAAAGCCTCAAAGATAACTTCTCTTACACTTGAATCCGAGTGTGGCTGATTAATACCCCTCAATTTGCACCCACCTTTAATTTTTGACTGAGCATAAAAAATAAAGGCATCTGATTCCAGAAAGTTCAGCAGCGGATAAATACTTCTTTAACAAATCTACTGGACTATACCTAGAATCTGTCTTATTTCTGACTATTTGTCTACCCTCTCAATACTCGTCGGTTGTGCTTGACAGAATGAGCAGAGTAAAACCCTCATAAATGAAAGAAATGTCACGTTCATACGTGGGGTGGTGATACCCTACAGTGGTGGGGTACACCTAAGTTTTAAGTTGGGCACTGATCTCTTTGGCGATTAAGGTACTCTAAATACAGATCAAGAACTGGCACAAAGAATGATTCTCACTGTACATGTATATTAGAGTTGGTTTAGTTCTATGTGAAATCAAGTTGAGAAATTTAGGACTGTCCCATTATTGAGATTGAGAAAATTTACACATTTGCGGATGGTAATAAATGGAGTTGACAGTGATATGGATTGATTGACCAGTAATGAAAAAAGCTTATGGTGTGAGTGTGATAATTGCAAGAATAAAAAGGTAAGTCATAAGATATGGCAGAGCCAGTGGGCAAAGGGATAATAAAGGATAAAAGGATAATTAAAGGATAGGCTAAAGGATAAAAGGGCACTGTGCAACCTGCTCTCTCTACAGAGTTCAGCTGTGTAAAGACCACACAATGAAACAATGCAGTATATGTAATAGTCATTGAGTCCAAACATGAAACAGTCGTTATGCTTCATGCATGTGTACAAGTCACATTGCCAAACTAAAAACTTTCACGACAGTGCAACAAATAAAATCAGTCCAAATGACGCATTTTTGAACTGACTTGGAGCCCATACTTGGCCCATACATACTACAACAAATCTTTCCATGCAAACAGGCCAACAATAAATGGATGATAAAAGTTGCAAAATGCTTAGGACAAATGTGAACTTACGTTCTGACAGAACAAACTCCTGCTAGAGAGAGGCAGATTGTCACGTACGCCATGACAAAGTATGGTGTAGCGTACAAGAATACCTTCATGTCTGGTATGAACTAATGGACTAGAACCCATTGTAGCAGACTAATATTGATGAGGTTACGGTTAATTTATGATTATGACCATGAACAACCGCTGGGGCCACTTTACACAGAAAATACAACGATTTAAATATTATGTCAGGACTGTGTTGAACAAGTAGGAACACTCAAGGTTTGTGAGAAAGTGCGTGGTATGGAAACCTGAGAGAACCCTAGACTTGACAAAGTTTGACCACCACAGAAACATGAGAAATCTTGATATGAGCAAGTTCACTAAATCGTAAAAAAAGTGTATGCCAAAAGACAAATTGTAACTGATCTCAAGGTCATAAGATGTGCCTCTTTGTTTGCATTATACAAGTAAGAATCTATGATTTCCTTTAGAACTGATGCAGGTACTGGCCTTTACTTTGCAATTGGTTAAGAGAGCCATTGTTAAGGCCTTCTAGAGTAAACTTTACGAGTGAAAAGACTGTGGGACCATCAATTCCGGCCATTTTGTGTGCCCAAGATATGGATGTTAACATCTTAATAACTGGTGCTGGGGAATTACACGTTTTACTTAAATGAGTTAAATATAGATATATAATCAAAGGGGTCTTCATTTATGTGCTTTTTCCAAGACCCCTAGCCCAACTGGTTTTTTGCATGCATTATATGTGAGTAAAATATGAAACCCAGCAATTGTGTGCACACCGCTGTGGAAACTGTACGCACATGATTTGACTACTCACACATGAGAACGATGGCAACACATGCGTGATCCATTAGCTGCAGGCTTATCCTGTTTTGTGTGAGTGGAACTTATGTGCAAAACAACTTAGAAAAGTTCACATTTTCTTACGAGTGGACTGAGATCCTTAAACAAAATAAAATTAGAAATAATAATGTTTGATTTGTCCACTGTTGCTAAAATTACAATACAAAATAACTTCATAAGGGGCAGTAATTTCAAAATAGTTTTGCTTAAAACATGCCCCAGAGAGGCTTAGAATGCACCAGAGAGCATCTTAACTTTAAACCCCATGCCGTAATGGCTTCGCGTTTGTGCTCACAGTTTCAGTTTTTTTTACAATCCTCCAATCACATCCCTGCCAACATGAAGCGAATCTCCTATACCCTGCGTGCCCCCCGCAAGGGTATGCTACTTGCATCACTCAAAATTCCAGTACACATTCCTCCGCCCATTCCACAGCTGTACATTCTGCCCTTCATTCTTGAAGAAAACAACTATGTTCTAATTCATAGTACCCAATCACTCAAACGAACATTTTTACCTTCTTTGGTATATAATACATGTATATTCATCATAAATGGGTGGTTTATTGTGACGACTTTGATGAAGTTTTATATTTGGAAATAACTGGTTTTTCCTTTAATAAACTTCCTGACTGAAATGTTTGGTTTCTGGAGCAGTAAGGAGATGCCAGTATATTAGCTTTTTGGTTGAATACAGGGTACATGTACATGTGTGTATAAATCATCCACAATCAGTTGTTTTTCTTTTGTTGCTTTTCAGGACTACAGTGAGAACGCATCTGTGCTGGTCTACTGACACCATTGTGCTGTCTTGGGAGGGAGCCAGCAGATAGACCACGCCCACCCATTCCACTTTGTCACTATCTGGTGGTCATTAAAGGACACCATTCAGGTCGATGGGGTGTATTAATGAACGGTTGACTGATGGAGCAGGAAATTCATTAAGGCAGTAAAGAGGTAAGTTTCTATCAGGCCATTTTCGTATTATGTCGCTGTAATACAAGCATGCATACATGTAGTAGATAGATGTCTCAGAGAGCTTCATTTGTGAATTTCAAAGTTAGTTGGATCTTGTTGATGTTTGCGACAAAACTAGGAATCGGTCAAGAATTTTGTTAGAGATGACCAGTACATTGTCTCTGTAGAGCCACTATGTGAGAATTTCTTTCTGCTTTTTTCAAAGTATTTTGTTTCAGAAGTCATGCAGGGTGATGTCACATATTTCAGGGCATGCTGTTGGGCCATTGAAGGAAATACTTTTTCTGAAATGGAAACAGTTGTGGTCGAGAATTGAGTTCCAGAAGATCTTTGATGTCGTAGTGACTGGTTTTTGGATTGAGTTGCTTTAGTACAGTGTAATTGGTGTTGTTTATCACATGGTTAACTAGGATGTCCCCTTTTTGTTTTTTAATGGGGGACTAGTTTTTGCCTGAACATGTTTTTAGTCAGTGTCTTAGCCCAATGTGGGTCAGTGGGTGAGTTGAAATTTGGTGGCTTCCCAATTTTCTTCTCAATCTGGTGTCACAGAAAAGGTTGATTTGGGATGCCAAGTGGAAGGTGGTTTTAAAGGATTTTTTTTTTGAGTATTGTTCAGGGAATAAATATTAAACTAACGTTTAAGACCAGCGAAGCGCATATTTATTCCCATTCATAAATACCTTTTTATTCAGAGACTCAAAAGAAGTCAGCAGATGATGGATTTCCAACAATTTTTTCTAAAACTTCACTTTTATTTTCCCAAACATCCCCATCTATTTTATGGTATATTCCTTTTGAAAATTGTCCAATAGAATAGAAGTAAATAGACTTTGCGTGCGCCTGGGGCATTCTGCGTGTTGCGTCACACACAGACTCATGACTAACAAGGATGGAGTAAACTGTCTCATCCAAGTTTTAGTGTGTGTTTTACACAGCAGTCATTGTCACTTCTCAGCAGGCATGATCAAATGTGAACACATGATCAAGTTGCACGTTTCTCTGCCAGTTTTGTTTTCAGTCTTTTTAAACACAATCTCTGGTCACTGCAAGATGCCGAAGTCTGGGAAGAGAGTGGCAGCAACCGTTTGGCCTTCTGAGGGGAGGAAACCGCACTGAAAGCCTCGCTCTGCTACCGGTAAGCCTACGCAAAGCCGGGGAGATGCTTCTGAGGCAACCCCACGTTCGGTTGGGCTAGAGAAAAGTATACCGGCAGCAGCCACACCATCATCTGCAATTCCTTCTAGTGCTGTAGATGGATCTCTCCCACCCGGACGCCCGCAAAGTGCTGCCGCTGCACTGCCTGTGACTTCGGGGCTTGGTGAGTCAGATGTTCACTGCAATCTTTTTCCCTTACCTGTTGTGGGCCACCAATCCATTCCTCATTTAATTTCAATTGGTGATCCTACTCCTAGTATTAGTTCATCTGCATTGCCTTTGACTTCCATCCCTATTTCACTTCAAGCTGTGAGTGCTGTGTCTGCAATGGCTAATGCACAAAACTACACCGCACTAACCAGTGTTTGTGACGAGCTGGGGCTAGAAAAAATTTGGAAACGGGAGTTTGTTGAATTTGGTTCTTTGCTACGGCCAATTCATACTGTGTTTGGTAATACTCATTCTCACGACTTTGTACTTATGATAAGTTTGCCTGAATTACCCACCTTGCAAATTCGCCCCCCAGCTCAGCACATTTGCATAACGTCCACTGAGCAATGGACTTCTGCCATATATGTCTGCTTTCTTGGTTTTTGCATCCATTTACTTGATTTGCCATCTGGACTGCACCCAACAACAGAGCTGCCAAGTGGTACAGATTTTCCGTAATTGGTACAGAAATTGATCGTCATTACCGGTCCGAATTGGTGTGATACCCATTTCTGCAACAATCACGGCTTGCGTATGACGAATCATGCATGAGAACACCACGCCACCGTACTCGCTTGGACATTTCTACGATCGCACGGACTTCGCCATTCTTTCTTGGAAAAGAAATGGCTTCTAAGGCTAAACGTATGAAAAAGCTGCAGACGTTTAGAGAAGCATACCACAAGAAATGGCCATGTATCACGGCATCTTCAATAGGTGAAAATTTTGTGCGATGTACGCTGTGCTCCAGCAAATTCTCGATCGGACACGGGGGATCAAGTGACGTCAAAGTACATGTCCAAGTCATTGAAAAATCGGGCAGGTGAGGATGATAGGGAAGGGAATCAGGACATAGCAACATTTTTCCGCCCCAAAGACAATGGTACCATTCAAGCTGAGGTGTTAATGGTGCAGTTTCTTACCGAGCATACATGTATACCGGTATGCACGTGTTATAATAAGAATTTGGATTACCTGTATTGCAAACATTGGTTTCTATGCCTATGCTGCGGGTGCCCTGTGGAAGTACACACATCATCAAAGGCTGTCCATTTGATTTATAATTTGGCATGCAAAGCAAATATAATACAAAACTGTTTTTCATTAAAATACATGTCTATTACTTTCCACATACTGAAAACTCCCATACTACATCTACAATGTAAACATGCTGTGTTGTACAATGCGCATCAAATAAAAATAGTATTTTTGTAGCCAATCTGCTCTGTGAAAGAAGTTACTGATTTCCTTTGAAAATTACTGGTTTTTAGAGTTGAGATTACTGAAATGCTCCGAAAGAACTTGGCAGCTCTGCGACAATTACTGAAATGTACCCATACTGTCCGATCTGCAGCCTTCCATTGCACAGGTTCTGGCTGGCGCGATTATGATATCCAGTTCCATCTTCACCAAACGCGAATGCCTGCTCGTTCCTTGGCCAGCATCGACACTGAATTGTGGCTAATGCTAGTGGGTGGTCCCTCACCAAACTTTTGTCGTACCTACCCCCTTAAGTCCTCCCAACAGCCATTCCACAACTGGATCGTACATCCTCTCAGCAGGAACAGTGAGGCACTGCTCGTACATGTACACAATGATATTATCAGGGAGATTCAGTTGGGCCGCATTGCTGGTCCTTTTCTAGCCCCCCATTGCCTGACTTGCGCTGTTCTGCAGTTGGTCTAGCCCCTAAGCAAATGCCGGGTGAATTTCGTGTGATACACAATCTTTCCTCCCCATTGGGCGATTCCGTTAATGATCACACTGACCCGTCTCTTACCATTGTTAATTACTTGAGTTTTGATGACGCGATAGGGTTGGTCTTAGGTTTAGGCACTTATGGCTAAATCTGACATTAAGTTGGCTTTTTACTCGCTTTCAGTTCACCCGGATGATTTTAACCTGTTAGAGTTCTTCTTCAATGGGTCATACTATCCGTACTGCAACAAATGTATGCCCATGGGTTGCTCCATGTCGTGTGTGACATTCGAACAGTTTAGCACATTTCAAGGAATGTTCTGTTCCCGCAAAGTGGCAATGACTGATGGTATCATTCACTACCTCGACAATTTCCTTTTTGTGGGAAGTGCCAATTCCAGTGACTGCGCTCGTGCTCTTCAGTTCATTTATGGTCGTTTGTAAGGAGTTTGAGTTCCCTTAGTGTCAGACAGAACGGTTGGTCCGGCTAATAACATCACTTTCCTAGGGTTGGCAATCGACCCTATTGCTCAGACAATTCAGGTTCTGCCCGTGAAAATCAGGTCCATACTAGAGAAGTTGGATAATGCATTATCTAAACCAAAAATTATTCTCAGGGACCTGCAGTCTTTGATAGGAGGTTTAAATTTCATCTGTAAAGCTGTTTGCCAAGGCTGTGCATTTTTGCGTCGTTTGTTTGATTTAAATGTACATGTAACCTGCGGCCTTTAGAAGCCACATCATCGTATCCGCATTTCTTCTGGAGCATGCACCAATCTGTTGGCATGGCAACAGTTCTTAGTCCATTTCAATGGCTCAGTCATGTTCCCCACCCAAGTCTGGCAGTCCAGTCACACCTTACGGTTGTACACCAATGCTTCAGCCGATATAGGTTTTGGTGCATTCTTTCATGGTCATTGGACTCACGGCAGATGGCCCTTGTATTTGTGTGCTCTAATGTATAATTTTGAAAACAGTCTCTGCCTCT